TTTTTTTTTTTTTGAGCTGATGTTTCGTTATAAAAGTGATCAATTTTTAGTTCGCTAGTTCGTTTTTCAGTTAACTTTTGACCAGGGGTCGTTCGTTTGTTTTACGAAACTGAAATTCTCACACTTTAACTAATTATTTACATTTTGAAATATTTAATAGAGTATATTATATTGAAAAAAAAAACGCTTAACGATATTGACACATATAAATAATATAAGGATCTAGTTATTTCTCAACAACAGATATTAGCATTAGTATTAAGATAGCTTACTGCTTATTCAACGGCCGACTGCTATAATTTATACGCATACATAAAACAACGTAAATCAGTGTCACACAAATTCTCACAGGACCCAGTCTGTTTCTTCTGTACTAACGCAATTGATAAGCTTGTACTGTAAAAAAGATACACAAAGTATTTTGTGAGAGGTTGTTTTGCAAAGAATCTTTGTAATTCATTTCTTTCAATTTGAAAAAATGATACTCAAATAATAGATATTATTTAAGTTTGTAGAGCTTTGTCACAAATGGCTTATTTCTTCGTTTTATCCATACACCTATATGAAAACTGTGAATTTAAGTGATGAATGTAGAGGCAAGTTTAATGGATTTAGTAGTTAGACCAGACGTTGGTCCTTTGATCGATATTGTCAATGTCACGAATGAAAGAAAACAATGGATTGGATTCTTTTGATTCATTAAAATAAGCAATAAAATATTGCTCAGTTCAGATTTGATTGCAATATCAACAACAATACAAATAATTAAAGTTTAATCTTAGACATGTTTTATTCTTTTCTTGGCTCTAGCTTGCAACCTATTTCAACGATGCCAAAAATAATAGAAAGATAGCTAGGCGCTCGATATATTTATCAAACAGAAACGTTGTCCATAATTAAAAGCTTTTGTATGGGACAATGACCGAGATTGTTGATTAGGTATGCACACTTACTTGGTGGTAGAGCGGCGTTCCCTTCTTAGGAATGGCAATGAAATTCATTTATTCTGCTTTAGTAGAGCAAGCGGATTACGCAATACGAGATAGGCTCGTCTATCGCCCTGTTCACATTTCGCCCCCGTCTATTGAAATGGAATAGTATTTTATCCCTTTTTCCTGTTTCAGATTGGATTTCCGATTCCTTCTAACATCATCTCATTTTCTTTCACGCCCAGTATCTACCTGCGTTTTAGTAGCATTATTACCTTTCTTGGGGTGAACTGTTTAAAAAAAGTAACATTCAAATAAATATGTGTAGCTTAATAGGAACTTATCTTTTCTCTTAATTCTTCGTTCTAAGTCTTAATCTCAATTCTGAAATATGATTAAAGGTCGATAACAAAATTTGAGTAAACATGTTTTAATACCAACACCGATGCTTAAAGAAAAATTTGTGTTTCCAAATATCAACTTATTGAAAATTCCATCACAATAATTAAGTATATATCAAAAGAAAAGAAAGCAAATTTGATTCGAATCTACAATAAAAGACTTATTCAGATTTCGACTGAACATGTATTCATGATGAGGAAAGAAAACAGTAAGTCCTATTGTTATTCTTTAAAAATTAACAAAATATTTAAATCTCGAGAGAAATTATATCTTTCCTTTTTTTTCTTACCCTTTTCTCTGAACCAGTAATACAGTATAATTAAGTGTTTTCTTCAGCACTCTAAAAATAACATCTTGATATTTTTTAACGACTCTTATTTGAAATAAAGTTAAAATGAAATTATTTTTCTCGTCTTATAAATAAAAGAATTTGGTGTAAATAAGTACAAATAGGTTCAAGTCGATCTTTTCTTTCCTCGGTTGCATATGTAAGTGAATAATGACCTCGAGCTAAATTCTCTCTCCCTCAAAAGGATTCATGAAGAGTTTCCTTGCGTCTTTACAATGCACGGATGGAAGAAATCTGCGTGCATCTAAAGAAAATGTTGTAATGCCCTTTATTATGCAAATTGTCTTAGCTACTCAAAGTAATATTCCAAGTAAATAACATTGCAAATGCTCCACATATAAATGCTGCCATTTCTCTTTCTAATTGATTGCATTGACTAAAACCTTTACGACACTGTGAGCATTTCTAAGGCTGTCTCTCTTTAGCATGTTTTCCGCATTGTTTGGACAAAACGTTAATCCATTCCACACACCACACATCTGAAGGGATTTTATACGCTTTAAGACGATTTAACCTTTGTTTCCATTTGAATTGTTTATAGCAAAATTCACATTTGAACAAATTCTAATCAGGTAAACAGCGATTTTATCAGCTGTGACATCCAAGTGTACTACCTACTCTCAGAATAAGAAAGTTATTTTCCACTGATTACAAAACATATAGACACAATTATATAAGAAACGTCGTTTTCCTTCCGTACAAGCAAGGCTTACGGACACATCACGTTAAAAAATGCCAGTCCCCGTACGATCACCGAAGTTAAGCAATGTCGAGCCTAGTCAGTAGCTAGGTGGGTAGCCGCTTGGTAATTCTAAGTGCCCTAAGCTTAAAAGTGCGGGTCGTATAATGGATGATGACTCGAAATTATAAATCGGAGAGTTGAGTTCCAATTCCCGTTGGGTTCGATATATTCATTTATGCATAAATACCCTTAGGGAATGTATGAATCCAACACTTCTCTCCCTTGGAAATACCAGGTGCTGTAAGAGTGAATGTGTAATGGATAATGACACGTGATTAAAAATCAGAGAGCCGGGTTCCAATTCACATCGGGTTTACTGTATTCGCTTACTCGCAAATACCCTTAGAAGATTATGAATCCACCTCCTCTCATCTCCCCTGCAATGGGTCATTTAGTAACAATGGTATTGCTAAACCATTATTGTCCGCATAAAAATTCTTACAATCTAAAAATATTTCTGGTTTTACATAACGAATTAAGCCGTAGAAAACGAATCGACCAATCAATTCTTTACACGTAAGATATATATTGTATATACAAAAAAACATTTCTATGTTTCTGAGGCTTGGCATTTTCTATTTACAAAATGAAATCTAGAATAGTATGAGTCCATATCTCATTGCACGTATAATAAAACAACCTGCAAACTTATCTCGTATATTTTGATCAAATACATTATTACAAAGGAAGAAATCTCTTTACTATTGCATTTTATAAAACATCAAAATAATCGAAATGTTGTACAATTGAAATGCTTTTCACATTCTAGTTCATTAAAGATTTAAAACATTTTCTTTCATTTTATTTTAAGACACATAAAGATTATTTAAATAGGTTTTATTGTATGAAGTAGTTTTTAAGAAATATTATCTCGTAAATTTTTTACAATTATCGGGCGTACGTTAAGTAATTACGTATTTAACAGGTATTAATTTTGCAACAATCAGCGAAGGCAGAAACCAGTTTTAATAATAATAATAATAATAATAATAATAATAATAATAATAATAATAATAATAATAATGAAAAGATTCCAGTAGACTAATTGAAGGGATACCTGGAAGTCCATGCCTCAAGGAGATACAGAAAATTGTTCTAATAAGTACAGCCCACACCTTTACGAAGGGCTTTATCTATGTAATCTTTTTTTTTTTTTTTGTCAGTGGAAAGTGTCATGACGCCATTTCTAACCTTAGGTCCCTGGGCGGGACCCGGAAAGAAATGTGTAAACATGAAATCAAAGAAAATAATAATAATAATAATAATAATAATAATAATAATAATAATAATAATCAACAATATCTGTTGTAGTTAGAGCCCTCGGAATGGTTAGAAAAGATTCCAATAGACTAATTGAAGAGATTCCTGGAAGCTAATGCCTTAAAGAAATACTAAACATTGTTCGCACGAGTACAGGCTACAACTTACGAAGGGCTTTATCTATGTAATTTTGGTTTTAATTGATTAGTGGAAACTGTTATGATGCCATTTGTAACCTTAGGTCTCTGGGCGGGACCCGGAACGAAGTGTGTACACACCACTAATCAGAGGAAATGATAATAATAATAATAATAATAATAATAATAATAACGTAGATTTAGAATTAATTTATTATTTTTTTATTATCAGATTTTAATTGCCAAAAACTTGCAAACAGAATATTTAGCTTCTTCATACGTTTAGCTTGAGAACTAAACAAATCTTCCCAACATCTGCAGTAGTCGTTTAACCAGAAATACCAAAAGTTTGTTCCATTACATTGTAACTGGTTGTGTGACAGTGTGATTGTTCGCATGTGGCTTCGTATAAGTGATATATGACAGCCTTCCTGCTGTCAATGTTAAAAGAGACAAATATTGTGAAAAAATTGATATAAAAAGTAACAGCCAAAAAAGTCATGCTTCGATTGATCAGTAAGCCAACAAAAAACATACAACGAAATAACACTTGAGTGAAGTTGAAGGAATATCTATGTGAAATAAAAATTAAACTAAATTATTTACATGTTTAAACTCGGTTTTCGGCAGTTGCCGGATGTGTTGCATATGGGATAAGAACATGCGTGTCTATGTGTGTATGCGTTCAAGGAATATAATCATAGATTACATTTGAAATAAGGCCGTAAAATGTTCTCCTAGCGCCATCTTGCTTACGAGATGTGCAATGTAAAACATTTTTTTTTTTTCACATTCTTGATTAGATCCAAAAATGTTATTTTAAATGTTGTGGTTTGTCTTCTACTACGTTCGAATCTAGAATTATGCAACTTTTAATTATTTTATGACCTTGGATTGATGTTCACCGTCTATTTAAAAGTTTTCGTTTTTGCTGATTTTTTAAACCATATTCATATCTTATATAACGTGATATAAAATCGTTTTGTCAGCAGAAAACGAAAGACAGCGGTTATCAGAAAACGAAAATCCAATGTAAAAACCAGGATTCCATCTATAGCAGTCATTGCCTTATTCTCCAACATGATAATTCAAGGACATCCCCTTCGAATCAATACCATGAAAAAATAAAATCATTAGAATGAATAATTCATTTACATCCTCCAAACTCAACAGCCTTAACACTTTGTTTTGATCAATACAATATTTCATAAATGACAAAGAATTCAGGAAAAGTTAAGTTGAAAATTGTCTTTCTAAACAATCATATTCTTTTAATGTGTAACTAATAGAAAACAGAATGCATGGTTATCAACAAAAGGAAGAGGATAACATGCATATTACAAAAATTACAAAAAACAAACAAGTACAAGATATTAAATATTTAAATTTCTGTGAAGTGTACCACGAACAGAAAGTTCGACATCAAAATCAGATGTATTGGGACAGCGAAAGATGTCTTACGAAAGCTGAGTAAAGTATTAAAAGCAGAAAAAAAAAGTATTTAGAAACAAAAGTTGGACTACAATCTTTAAAAATGAAGGGATTAAATATTTGTCACATAACATTTCAATTCGATTAACTTACATTTGTTTTTATATCTTTTTTGGTAAAATGTAATCTCTTTCCGAATGGCCAAATTGCTATTGCATCCGGTAGGCACCTCCCACATCACTAACAATTAAACTCTATCGCCACTGGACTATCAGTGTTTGTAGCCCAATGTCAAGACTACGTTACATAGTAAATGAATATAATGGAATTCATTTTTCTGGTTCACTGTTTATCGCTTTCAATTCGGACTTCCAGTTTTTATAATTCAGTCGATATATTTACATGTTTAAATATTAACCAAGAAAAGTTTTTTTTTTTTTTTTTTAAATACAGCAACTTCTTTGTGTAAAATAATATTTCTATTATTTTATAAATTATTTTCCAACAGCTATTCGAAAAAATTCCCCTTGATAAAATAATAATAATTACATGTTTTAACTTGAATTGCTGTCAACATTACAAACTATTTTTTGTTTGCAAAAACATGTAAATGGTTTAAGTTTATATTCATAGCCAATAATTAAATGTTACAATGTGTACATTTGTTGACCTGCAAAGTAAATATAATTAATCACCATTATTTGATTTGGCTAAAATTAATGGTATTTTTTTCCCAATTTCTTCACATAAAGAAAAAGAGAAATGGAATCTTGTTGCGTAATATAAGAACATTTTGACAAGGAATCAAAAAGAAAAAAAAAATGTAAGTAAATCAAAATGAATTGTAAAATATTCCGATATTTTATTTAGAATTTTTATAATTTTAAAACCAGAAAAAACATGTTAGTGGCTGAAGTGGCTGTTTAATTCTTCACAAGCTGGGTCTGCGTAGTTATGTTCAAGTCAGCCGGTCATTCTCTGTTTCAGTGTTAAGTATTGAGTAATTATTCGATTCCGTATGGGAGATTAGAGAGGTAATCCTTCTTGCAGACACCTGTTCAGGCACATTATATTTTCATCAACGTCCAACTATACTTTATCTTACTAATATGCTTAGTTACAGTTATTTTTTGGAGTGGGCGCATAATTTAACGTGACCAATATTTGAACAAGGTCAGCACCCTCATACTCTCGGTCACGATGACTTAAAACATTGTGACTGCAAAAGCATCGAGGAATTCTGCGCAGTTTCGTTTACCCAATGTTTTGAGGCGGATATAAAAAAAAAATCACCATAATATGATTTGCATCCGAGTCTTGTGGTCGGAATCCTAGCGCCCTACCCACATAGCCACTTTTAATACCACTAAACCAAGATTAATAAAGAAAAAAATCTATTTAATGTCTATGTGAAATGAAATCATGAAACCCTTTTGTTAGTTCAACCAAATGCAAATATCTGTTATTTTAAATGTGCATTTATGTGTCATATCCTTTCAGGGCGTTGACGCTCATGCCTTCCCACAATTTTCGATCTTTTATTATTCTACATAATATGTTACACTTTACTATCGATCTTTGTAATTGGTCTTGCCATTGATTCGCACAAATCCGTTAAGTAAATTACTCAATCTTTGCCTTTATTTCTATGGTTTTGATATGTCCTGTGAGTGTTAAATTCACCAAGTTGACTTTCCTAATTAAATGTCCCAGATAATTTCAGTTATCGCTTTCTGACTGTTAGTAACAGTTTCTTTGTAGTTATTATTTCCCTTAAATTTTCTTCATTATTCTCATGTTATGCTCATGGAATTTTCAGCATTTGTTGACACAAAAAATATCTCTAGATCCGTTCTTTATCTATGAGGAAATTCAGCGCCAAATAGGAGATGATATAATTCAGTTCAACACACTCTTTTTGTTTTCTTTAATATTCCCCACTGTCTTAATGTTTAGCATAGTTTTTGAAAGATATTTCTTGCTATTCATATTTCCCTTCATATTTCTGTGTCTCAATTTTCGGCTTTTGTTACTATAGGAGTCATTTCTGCGTCTACTTGATTTTGATATCCTTTGGACATAGCGCACATCTTGAACTATCTCTTTCTGCATTCTGTCAAGAGTTAAGTGTTAGTCCTTGCTTATAGCTTTACATTCTTACCTAGTCTAAGAGCTATGTCAGTTTTCCTTCTGAGTTTGACATCAAAACAATTTCCTTCATGCGCCTTATGTCGTTATGTTGTTTATACC